GTTTCCGTCAGACTATCGCGATTGGCTAATGGATGTATACCCCGATTGAGACTATACTCCGAGGTCCACTTTATTTGAACGTCTGCTGAACAGCAGCTCCTCAAATTTTCTCAAGCGATGTCCTGTGTACAATACATAGAACCTCATGAGTAAGCGAGCCTTAGTTCGGCAGTGCAAGATAAGCGAGACTAAATTCAGCCTCGAGGGCGGAGATCGTTCTCGAGTGTCGTATTTGCGTATTTCTAAGACTAGTTTTTGCTATGTTGATTGTACAGTGTCACATGCAGCCCCTTTGGTTCAGAATACACATGTGTTGTACCAAGGGCCCTTTCAGCCCTGCCGATTGTCGATTCCGTGCAACTGTCTCTCACGCAGGTCAGTAGATTGTCATCTTTGCATGAAAGCCAACGACCCTCTAGCAGCAATTCATGGCCCGTCGATTCTACGTTGACGATAAGGCCCGCTCGTACGAAAAGAAAATCCCTCGCAGCCTCGCCTGTATGGAAACACTATGCCCTGGAGGCTTACAGCCGTAGAAGCACTAAACAGGGCGCAGTCCGTGCAAAATACACTTTTCATTTAAGATCTCGCTTTTCCTATATTTAAACCAAAAACACTTAACTCGTTGTCTAGTAACAACCTTTAAGCCTGATTACTAGACTACATCCAAAATCCCTAGGGAGGAACAAGCCCACAATAATGGAGAATCCAGGCCATTCTTTATCTTTACCACTCTGCCTCAAAGCAAAGAAGCTCATAGGGGTAAGCCGTAAGATCGAAGCATAACGCGAAAATGGGCAACAAGCGACTTAACTCTCGTCAACCAATTGAGAAGCCTACGACCTCGCAAGTCTACATTACTACACACCCATCATCGTCCTCCTCCTCGTAGTCAGGCGGAGGGTCCCAAGTATTACGCGTAGCGTAGACGGCTGGAAAGATCACTCCGATCCCGAGGACCAACACAACAATGACCAGGACCCGCTTGTACGCAAAAGCGGAGAGAAATCGATCGAATCTTTCGTTGCCAGTGTACAACTTGATCCTTTGGCCCGGGGGCCACGGGTTAAGTAGATTTTCTTGCGCTTCGGTTGGCGGAGGTTGTCGTATGGGAGTAGGAGCTTGCCCATGGCGACAGGGCTGGGGGGTTGGAGAAGTCAGATTTCCAGCGCAACGGCTGTACCAGTGCTCCACCTCGAACCATCGAGGGTCGCCCACAGTTCGTCCGCGCAGTGGTTGGGGCGTTTGCCCTTTCATCCTCATGTTGGCTTGCAGATCATGGCTCCTCTGGGAGCCCCACCACCACCACGGTACGGATTTGTCGTGAGTAGCCCTCCACGCCACCCATTGCGCAGCGAAGTGCTTCAATGGGGAATTAGGCACCCTTTGGAATTCGTGTTCCATTGTGTGTTTGCTGATCCAGTTGGCATTCTGAATGACCTTGCCCAGGGCGTATCGCGCGAACACTCTTGCTCGAAGGTAGTCAGCCAGAAGCCACGCTTTGCCGCATTGAGTCCGCCAGGCATAGCTGTCGCGATAGATGTCCGCGTCCGCAGCGAAGCCAGAGCCGTCTTTCTCTTCTTCGTTGTACAGCCAGTCGACAAACAGAGCAAAAGCACCCGCATCGGCGTAGCTGAGGTCAAACGTCTTGATTTCGCCTTGCCGGACCGTGAGCGTTTGGGCTGCGTTTTGGAAGTGCTCCGAGTAGCGGCAGATGAGCCTCTCGTGAATCAGCCAACGTCGAGCCTTGCTGGATCTGCCAACTTTGATGTCGAGGAGCTCATTGCCACTGAATCGAGGTTATTAGCCTTTTGGCCTGTGTGCAAGCTGGCATTGAATGGATGATGGCACTGCTTACCAATGTAACAAGCTTCTAGAGCCTGGTTGTGGCTGCGGCTGCTCAGCCTTGGGCCACTTTCTTGTGTCTAGTGGCGGATTGGCTTCGAGGTCGATACCTCCGTCGTCTCCCCAAGCACGTCTAGCTTGGATGCCGGCCAAACGAGTTCGTGCGTTCAGCAAGAAATTGAAAAGAGACATTTCTAATTATCTGGGTGGGGACCGAAGAAGAGGGTTCGATCTCACCGGATGGTTGATAACGGGCTGGACGGTCATGTGCCGAGATCTCAGCCTGATCGTTGTATCTCAGCCTGATCGTGGTGGCTGCATGCAACTTGACGTGGCGGGGGTCAGGCTGAATCTGCTCGACCAATAGCTTCTTCCGACTATTTTGAAAAATAAATACTGAGCCTAGCACTACTCTGGACGATCAGAGCACTAGCGATAACCTCGCGGAGGGTTGGAGCCTAGCGCAGCTATCCCGCATATAAGGTTTCATGGAACCTCATAAGTTCAATAAGCGAGTCAAAGTAAATTTAGGTCATTCAGTTAGCTATTTACAAGCCGGTGGGCAGTGTGCTCGAAACTGATACAACTATTCAGACGGCGACGGTACTCTTCATTTAGATCTTCGTGATATTGAAGCCACTATTCATTCATGTTACCAATATAAAACTACGAACGTCAATAAAACTTCAAAGCGCTCAGTCTAGTCCATTTCTTCCAGAGATTACAAGCCCGTATCACACGTATAGGCTCGATATACTCTCAGACCCCACTAACCATCATGATGCACTCTAATCCCTTGAGACATGCGCTGACCTGGGATGTGTTGGAACGCGCAGAATGACCAAGGACAATTCACTTCCCATCCGCACATGTACCCTCGCTGCCCCTGTGAGTGTCGATAGGTGCAAGGGTGCTGGAAGCAATGCTGGTTCCGACAGTCTTTGTCGCTGTGTATCATGGGGCAGCCATAGACGTGGCATTCCTCTATACCTCCGTTTGGGCAAAACGGTCCTAGGGCGCGGGCGTCAGGATTGTCTATTATGCCTCCTCTTACGCATAGCTGATAAGCGGGTGAAATTGGCTGTGCCGCAGGAGATGGCGCGGGGATACAGCTTTTCCGTGCAGATGCCACTGTAGGGCTGCCCAGAGGGTCGGCCAGAAGAGTCATCCCCGTCGACGTGTCGGTATGACTTTCGGGGGTCTCGAGTGTAATATTCTCAGTGTCGTCCGGAGTTGCGCCATCTTCTTCAATATATGCGCTTCTCCCGATTGCCATGTTGTCAATGCCCTGCTCTGCAGCATTTGGTGGGTTCTGATGCTCAGCAGCATCCTCTTGCGTGATATCTATTGTCGGTAGCCCAAGTGCTTGCGACTGTGGCATGAACGAAACTGGGGGCGGGCTCGTAACCGGGTGCAACAACGGTGGGATGGAAACAAAAGACTGGTCTGGATGGACTGGTCCTTGTGCTCGCGCTGTATGTGCTTCCTGGAGGTTCTCAGCGATCCCAACCAATGTTGCAATGATATCGCTCTTGATATCTCCGATATCATTCTTCATGGCATCGATATCATTCTTCATTGCTCCGATATCATTCTTGATAACCCAAATATCGTTCTTGATATCCTCAATACTCTTATCGTCCATGCCGTTTGGTCGAGGATGTTCGCTCAAGTTTGATCGATGATATCGTGGTATCGCGCAAATGTGAAGCGGTTTTGCTGCCGTCCAGAGTGAATAAAAGCGATGATGATAAAGTTTGGAGTTGATGCAGACGACCATGGCGGTTTAGTACTCCATATGTTGATTCCAGAAGGGCATCGAAAGGGCCTGAAAGTTTTGTGACGGTGGTAAAGCGTCAAACATTGTGTATGCAGCCTCGCGGAAAATGATAACGGAGCGAATGAATTCAAAAAAGAGCAAATGAAGCGCATTCAGTTCATAGCGGCCAGTGAGAATGATCTAGACAACATCCACCCAACACAATATGAACCAAGAGGTAGCGTAGCAATAGCAAAGTCCTCGGAATCCGAGGCATCTTGGTCCATAGTCAAGCAACGTCATGCAACGAGTCGCATGTCCATCCCCCTGAAACATTAACCTCAGATTGAGATGCCCGGCTCGACCTAAAACAGCATCCCCGTCGGGGTGCTGGTAGTTTAGATTTCGGGTACGAGCTTCCCGTTGACGATGATGTGAACACTATTGATATGTGTATACAGCTCGTTAAAGTTACGCTGCCAGTAACACCACTCCCTACCTATGTTAGGATCGTCCACATAAGGCTTTCTCAGGGTTTCGTATAGATGTGCTGGTACATATTGTCCAGCGTCGAAGTGGATATGAATAGTCATGACTCCTATGGTAATGTTGCGACGTGGAGTGCTTCTGATACCGTTCCTGATCAGTGATTGAATGAACTTAGCAAGTTCGATGACCCGCAATTTCCAAAATGCATTCTGGTCTCCCTTATCCATGTCTTTCATGATGTTCATGTCGATGTGTACGTCGAGAGCATCGATGTGGGTAGGTATTGTTGGAAACACTCTCCACCTCGGCATGAGCACCACATCCAGTTCGTATTCCATACGCCGCTGGCGCTTCCTACGCTCGATTGCTTCTCGCGTTTCGAGGTTAATCTGGCGATTGGCGAGAAGAAGAAGATTCGCAGCCGGAGTTACAATACGAGATGGAGTAGCGCGATAGTGAAGTTGCCAGTAAGACGGACCTGGGGTGTTGGATCGCGTCGTTGTTGAAAGGGGGGATCCGCGATGTCGGAGTCCATAACGGCCTCGTAAATGATATCTCGCAGCTCTCTCGGGAGTTCTAAGATGGGAAGCATTGTCTTGATATGATCGATGAAGGATGACGGTGTGAGAAAGAGGAGAGTAGAAGAGCACGAAGAAGAAAAATGGACGTTTGAGGTAGGTGGAAAAGGAATTTCGGTAGCGAATAAAAGGCAACGTTGCCGACCGCGTCGAGACTTACTAAACCGTGGCACTGATACCCTGAAATTATGGTAGGTAGCCGTACCAAGAGAAAACTGACATGGACCATGGCTGTGGTTGTGTATCATCCATGGCAAGGAGGGACAGGGGTAGAGCAATGACACATTATAGTCTGAAAATTTTTGACGAGCCAACAATTCAACCAATCAGGTCGGTTAGCTCAGTTGGTCAGAGCGTGGTATGTGTTCACCTTCCTCGAATGAACCAACACCTGTACTAATCCACCACAGGTGCTAATATCAACATGTTAACGCCAAGGTCGCGGGTTCGACCCCCGTACTGACCAGAATTGTCTTTTTTTGCATCTCTTTGCTCTTTAATACCGCTATTATACAAGTCGTGTTCTTCACGAAGATGCTTTTTTTTTCTATCTTAATTATGGGAAGGTATGAAGATAAGTAAAACCGGCAATGCCATAATCCGCAAGCTGGTCCGTGGCATTGAGACGTGCTGATAGAATCGATAAGGGAAGAGGGGCGCGGAACTTGAGGCGAATTGAGGAAACAGTCTATCTACTTCACCATTGACTGCAATGCAAAGAGGGAGGACCATAAGCGGTTGTGGCGCATGCCAATGGCCCGTCGCTATTGCCATGGAGGTTCATGTTTGGATTACGCCGGGGATTAGTCCTATGGATCAGAGTAAAGCAACGACAAGACCGGTAAATAAAGCGAGTGGGAGGCAATGTAGGGGGGTGTAGAAGGGGTTAAGTCGGGTGGCTATATTCAAGGAGGGCACTGATTACCTACGATAGAAGTAATTTAATTACCACTTTCTCTGTACCACTTACAAAGTGGGCCACATCCGTGACTCCGATCTCAAATTTCAACATCATTGATTTTCATCTGCGCTTCTATTATACGTGACTTCTTGGATTATAGCTGAGCCCCAACCACTATGCAAGATTCTGATCATGATCTCACACGCCTGGCTTCAGGTAAGCCCGCTTTGGCATCTACACCAAGCCTGGTTCGCCAGAGATCATCACATCGCCACCCCCATGCCACGACCTCAGATCCTTCGGGAGAGCAGGATGTAATCACGGAGCCTCCACCGGATCAAGTGACTAAATACGATGTTGGCTGGCGACGGGTTGTGCGGAATTTCAGCCCTTCCTGGTTCTCCGTTACTATGGGCACTGGGATTGTTTCTTTACTATTCATCACCATCCCGTTCCAGAGCGATTGGCTGTACTGGATGTCTGTGGTCTTCTTTGCATTGAACACCCTGCTATTTGCTTTAGCTTTCGGCATTTCAATCCTCCGATACACGCTTTATCCCGCCATATGGACGGTAATGATCCACGACAGTACGAATTCGCTCTTTCTCGGTACTCTTCCAATGGGATTCGCTACGTTGGTAGAAAGTTGGATCTTTCTTTGCATCCCCTATTGGGGGCCTTGGGCAGTTACATTTGCCTGGGTGTGCTGGATGATAGACTGCATCGTCGCTGGAGCTGTTACGGTGTCGTTGACCTTCCTTCTGATATCACAATCTCATCAACAAGCCCTGGACCGCATCACAGCTGCACAGCTGCTGCCTATAGCAGCTACTATTGTTGCTGCTGGCGCCGGTGCTGAGATTGCGGAGGTGCTCCCGAATCCCGATCATGCATTGGGAACTCTCATCACGTCGTATGTAATGTGGGGTATGGCCACTCCTCTGGCCATGACAGTTCTGGTCATTTACTACCAACGGCTGGCACTTCACAAACTTCCTCCTCGTGAGATTGTGGTTTCGTCATTCCTGCCACTTGGTCCCCTTGGAATGGGCGGCTATACGATAATGTATCTCGGAAAAGTCTCGCGAGAAGTCTTTCCTCAAGTCCACTTCTTCCACGATTTAGCTGTTGCAGGAGACGTTGTATACATCCTTGGTGTATTCTTGGCGCTTATTATGTGGGGATTCGGCCTCATCTGGTTTGCTTTCGCTCTCGCGTCGATCTACAAATCTCGCCCGTTTCCGTTCAATATGGGGTGGTGGGGGTTCACCTTCCCTCTCGGTGTCTATGCGGTCAGCACGATCGAACTTGGAAACCAGATGCCAAGTCAGTTTTTCAAGGTCCTCGGCACTATCTTCAGTGTTGCCGTAATCTTGCTTTGGATTGTAGTCGCTATCGGTACCGCTAGAGGCGCTTGGGACGGAAAACTCTTTCACGCACCATGCCTCGCAAATCTGAAGAAGGACGAGAATGCCACGATCACACCTCCAGATAACGAAAAAGCGACTACGACATGAGGCAGTCTCGAGAGACTATACATCTGGTTGACAACAAGTGCTGTTTTGGTAATCCGAAAGAGGAATGATAGGTGGCATGATACAAATTCGAAAGACTGTCATCTAAGCGTCTCCATTGTAAGCAAGTGACCCCAATATACCTTGGCCTCCGCGCAGTGTTTCCTCAGTTGTACACTCTCGCTTACGACCTTAAAGGCCAACGTTCCTTCGGCAATACATGTGAATGATCGACCGGTTCAACTCCCCATCAACGTGGGCGGCCGAGCCACCCTGGAGAGGCTCAGCTCGTAGGTACCGAGCAAGCATTGTATGGCACGCGCATATGTATTGCGTACAAGAAGAAACTCGTTAAAATGCAGGTCCCGGGGAAATACTTTGCGGGCTCTCCGGGCGAATTGAGTCGAGGATATGGCAATTTCCCCGACAACAAATTAGCCCTAACTATCCTTGGAAAGCTTTCCACTTTCGACCAGCTCGAGCTTCATGAAGCTCATGGATCGCCAATACATGTGAAGCCGAGATAGAAATTCGAGCACGTTTGGGAATGACGTCTTATTGACTATAGGTTTGTTTCCAATCTCGAAACAGTTCAGTTCGTATTCTTGAATTTCTAGACATCACAACCCTTTTCGCGCAAGACAGTACTTCACGCCCAACTGAACCACGAAGCTCGCATCAATTGTACTTGCGCCTTCCACTGCATCTATCGCTTATGCCCAGCTACCCGGGCCTGCATGCGCGGTAAGGAAAGTTGAATATTGCGACTCTTGCTGGATCTGATCTTCCGTTAGCTCGACTGCTTCATCTCAAAGCTCAGCGACGACGGCTGCTCGAGTCTCCTAGATTTTGAATGTCACTGCAAGAAAAGCCAATCTTTCATGGGCGGCATGGAACCCTGCGTAATAGACGCTTGCCCAAAGGCAAAAGATCTCCAAGGTGCGTACATCCACTCCTCGCACATTAATGTCTAATACCACCTAGGCGTCCTTTCCACCGTCAACGCGATCTGCAAGCAATACGACGTCGTCCTTAGCATCACCCTCCCCGCCTCCCTCTCTTCGATTGCAGCCGCCGCGTCTACCGTTGCCCCAGTCACGAGCTTAGACGCAACCTCTATTCTTGCAGACACCACTAAGTCCGTGTCCACTTCCGCCACTTGATCCTCCGACTCCGCCACACCGTCCAACTCTTCCGCTGCCGCGGCAGCTTCGAGCAGTTCGAACCCTCTTGGCTTCTTAACTTCGATAGCGTCTGAGATCACGTCAGGCGCGCCACGGACGCTTTCGATAGACACGACGCTTGCCAATACGGGTAGTGCGGCCACTACGCTTGCAGCAGAACCGTGCATAACGGCTTCGTCTGGGTTTGCGCCGCCGAGAGATGTTTCGGCGGGCCTTCTAGGAGCTTTAGTTGCGATCGCGGCGGCGATGCTTTAGGGATTGGCGTCATGGGAGTATATATAACATATCGACTGCAAGCCAGCGGCTTAAGCGGCCAGTGAGACCGTTGGCAGAGTGAATGATCAAAGATTATGCAGAACAACCTCCACATTCTCCACATCACGTGCTTATCATATGCCTGCTTGCCAGCCTCTCCTCTACTGCCCGCAAAGCCCTATATAAGCCCCCAAGCCCCCAACCTTACAGCCCCAGAGTCCTCCGTTGGTGTGTTCAACACGTCGTTCTCGGACCTACCATGCAAAAAATCGCTTCAGCACCTCGCATGTTGCACCATCTGTCACGGCCCTGATGTATGAACAAACTCGTACTTCGACTTGCGAATGGTGTTCGTAGCTTGGGCCGATCGAGGGTCGTGGTGGGGGGAGAGTGTAAATACGATACACTATCAGGAGTAATGGAGGAGGTTGGATTGGGTGCAACAAGCGCTACTGAGGAACCCGATGGGTAAAACGGGGCTATTGGATGTCTCATGTGTGGAGTTGAGTTGGGGTACTGCACGCAAAGTGATGATGATTGTCAACTTGAGACAAAGATGCTAATTTAGTGCGTGTTAAATACGCATTTGCACAGCCTGGGCCTGCACCGCACCTCTATAAGCTGAACATGCGGCGCATCATCAAGTTAAAAAGGTAGAACACCCACAAAGTACCCATACATCGGCAGTTGCTCCTGTTTACTACCAAGCGTTTCAAGAACACTGCTCATTCCTCCATCAAAAGGACGTGGTTGCAGTTTTTACTGCACTCACACATGGGACAGGTGCAGTGCGATTTTGTTTCATTCCCCCAAGCCCTTAAGGAAGCAGACGTAGAAAGATTTGTGCCTTGTTTAAGTAATAGAAGAAATGGTGGTATCACGTGCATCAATACGCACACGTGATCCTTTAGAGGCACACGTGCAGAAAGTAAGGACGTTGTAGGAGGGTAGAGAAAGCTCTAGAATAATTGTAAAGTTCCCAACAGCCCCTTTACCATGACGTTTATCCAAACCTATGCGACTAACACTGCAGATTAGACTCGAATCTATCACTATCTGACAAATGCATGGCACCATGCTACCACCCCTGGACCTTCAACCTCGCTGCCAGAATCAGGCCGGCAGTGTCTCAATTCGCACCTTGCTCGTCCCAAGAAAGCTCCGTTGTCTAATTCCCCCCCCCCTACAAGGCAACTCATGATTAGCTTCGCATCCTTCAGACTATCTTCACCTCGTTTTCGACTCTTCCAATCCACCGCCTCCACCCCTCTAATGTGCAAGCAGCGTCAAAACCTCTTCATTACCGTATCCTCTAAACAGACACCCTATACCAGCCCTCCCACCCTCTCAACCTGCCACCAAACCCACAACACCAAACCCCCCCACACCTTACCAACCCCCCTCAACCCCAATCCTCAAAACCTGCGCCCCAACAACCGTCGTCCCATTAACCGGATCCCCCAACCCACCACCAGTACTCACAAACAACACCCTTCCCTCGTCCCCCCTCCCCCACACCACCCCCGTCGGCTCCGCCACCTCCGTCGAATTCACACCCCCCGCCACCACCCTCACCTCCCCATCCGGCGTAATCCTCGCAACCGCATTCCCA